CAATTAGGTTTAGAGCTCCTTATTTATAGTGAGAGTGCAAAGTGCTAAACAAACAAAACAATGACTAGTTATAAATTCTAAAAGTAAGATGGAATGAAATAACTTTACTAAAATAAAATTCAAAATTTTCTCAAATAAAAAAATGCTAGATAAGGGAATGCAATATTTAATTTATACTATCATTAGAATCTAACATAATAAGATCAAATCTAAAAGTTGTCATCAACTCTCCTAGGGATGTGGAGAACCTTTGGAAAGTTCAGCTAAAGGTACTGATCGAGAAGGTTGGGGGAGCTGTGCTTAAGCTTGACTTGTATTCATATTGAGTCATTTGATGATGGATAACCTTTCCATCACATAAAATGATATTGTTTGCCACAAAGACCCAATATAACCTTATTTAATAGAATTTGCTCAATTATTGACATCTGCCCAGAAGTTGGAGGCAAAATTAGAATTGATGCTATTGGTTGGGATTAAAAACTCCATTCATAGAGAGCCTTTGGAAACTTTAAAAGTTGAAAAATACCTTTATATGATATAATATCCACAATATTAAAAGTTAAATATCAGTAATTTTAATTAATCCCAACTTGAAATCTATGTTGTGATTCCATAACACATTAGACACAGGTAGGGTAGTATATAGCTTAGAGTTTGCTTAAAAGCTTTTCTCATTTTTATAAGTGTGGTATTGGCTTAACAATCTAGTGAAATCCTTCTTTAGTAGAGGCTAATATGATCCATTACCAAATGAATGGTCCAATCACCTTCTACATGATTAGTTAAATTGCATGTAATTTCCTGGCCAAAAAAAAATCCCGCTAAGTATGATGGATGCATAATTTTGATCATTTCATATGGAATCAATCACATTATGTGTAATTTGAAGTCAATGATATTTGATTGTCTTCTAGTTCAAGCTAGAGATGATGAAAGCTAGCATATTTACGTACACATCCTTTATATTCTCAAATCCTGTCTCTTTCAAAGTCATAGCTCTAAGCATGATAAAAAGCTATACTTGGCACATTAACCACATTCGTAAATCCAATGGTGTGTAAAAACCAAGAAATACATTTGCATAAATGTAGCCATTTTGCATAATGGGTATTCAACTTTTTCTAGAATTACAAATACCACAAAGCTTGGTGGTTTGAATAAAATTTTTGGTGAATAATATAATGATGCTAAGACCATTAAGCCTACACTACAATATTCAAATCTTATATTAATTCATGTGTTTCTAGTTGTCTGGAAGCATATGCAATCATCTTTTTAGTTTGCAGTAAAATACATTTTTAAGCCTTTTAAAAATGCATCATTGTAAATCTAGAATCTTTCAATTTTAGATATAATTATCATAATTGATACATATGTCACATATCTCTTAAATTTATTAAACGTCTATTCAAATTCATTAGTTCAATCATTTTTTTTTCTTTTTTTTTTTGTTGCAATTTGTAAAACTCCCTTTACAATACTCTTACCAATCTAAAAAAACTCCAAACCTCTATCATATTAGTTGGCCTTGGCCATCTTATCACTACTTTAACTTTTCAAGATCAAATGATATAATATATTCATCATTAACTATAAGTCTTAAGAGAGCAATACTTCTTAGTCGAAACTCACATTAAAAAATTTCGACATAAAATTTGTGATTTTTTAGAAAACCAAAAATAGACCTCAAATAACTAGCATGATTCTCAACATTATTGGATCAAATCAGTATATCATCAATAAATATCATCACAAATTGATCAAGATAAGATTTGAAGCCTTTATTTTTATTTTTATTTTTTGGAAATTTGAAGCCTCTATTTATCACATTCATGACTACTATTAGAGCATTTGTTATTCCAAAAATCGTTACTAAAATTTCATAGAAATCATACCTTGTGTCAAAAGCAGTTTTTTAATCACCATCCTTCATCCTAATAATACTGAAACTCCCTCTAACTGATCAAACAAATTATCAATCAATTACAACATTCTTCTCACAAATAAATAGGAGCTTTCCAAGGAGATATACTCTCTTATGGATTCTTTTTTAAAACCTCTTATTACTTCAATCATAAATTATGTCTTAGGGATACATGAAGATTCAACAGAGGCACTTTGAATCTTATTACTTCACTCATAAATAATGTCTTAGGGATACATGAAGATTCAACAGAGGCACAAATACAAGAAAAAGAAAATGAGGAGACACCAGTATTTTTACGTGAAAGAAGCTTGGAAGAGAAAAATCACGAGACCTAGCCCAATTTAAATAATTCACTATATAATTGTAAGTACATGGTCCACTTTTCTTTTCGAAATTAGAGACGATGAAATTACGAAGTTAACAATTATCGATGTAAAATAGTAGTTTAACTATACTAGTCATAATTGGGCTACAACAAATGTGGTTCTTAGCTATAATAACAATAGTTGTTTAAAAATGTCATAGTTGGTTGATATAAAGACAGTAGTTAGTCATAAAGACTATAGTTGGAGACTGCAACAGCGGTAATTGGTCATAAAGATCATAGATGGAAGTTTGTAACCGTAGTTGTTGGCCATAGAGACCATAATTTGGCTTTAAAGGTAATAGTTTGTCACAAATGTTGTAGTCGGCGACTGCAATAGCTATAATTGCCCACAAAGACCGTAGTTGGAAGTTGTAATAGTAGTATTTGACCACAAAAGTCATATTTAATTGCTACAAAAGTAGTAGTTGGTCATAAAGTTTATAGTCAGTGGTTGCAATAGCTATAGTTGGTCATATAGATCGTAATTGAAAGCTGTAACAGTAGTGGTTAGCCATATATGTCATAATCTAACTATAACGATTACAAGCAATAGTCATCGACATGTGGTGATGGCAAGTGGCGTTCAACGGTGGCTGACGGGTGGTGGTTGACTGTGCTTCGCGGCTACGACACCTGCGAGGCCGAGAGGGAGAAGGTGGTGGCAGCTTAGGCAGCCAGAAGAAAGCCTGTCTTGTTGCTGCCGGAGTAGCAAAGTGACCAGCACCCAAGGTGCTTCATGCTACATGGCCTGAAAGTTTGGAAGGTGTCGATCTCGTTTATTCAATTTCTCATTCAGTCGTCGTCTTTTAAAGAGTTGGGAAAGGCGAGCTAATTCTCCTCTAGAGACCAATATTTTTCGATAAAGTTAAAAGTTCTCTCTCAATTGTAGGCCCTCGAGGTGCACAACAACCAGATGTCTAGACGACGGTTAACTCCAAAGATACTTTATAAATCTATAAAACAATAACACAGTGGTGAAGTTCAAGAAAATCAATTATTGCCCAATGAATTTTATATTGTTTTTTTCAAAGAATGAGACATTTGGATAAAGTGGTACTAGCTTTCAAACAGGAGGAGATAATGATTTGAAAGGCTTCAGCTTGATCACCCGAACATTTCCAAATGTCTCTTTCTATGAAAAAAATTGAAAAAAAATCACAGGGCATAATTGATTTTCTTGAACTCCACCACTCTGTATCTTTGGTATTAACAAAGGAAAGAAGCACGGCTTGATGATTTTTTTTTCAAATAAGATGCATTAGGAGTTTATATCTATGATATTTAATAATAGACTGAATGATGAGGTGGTTAATTTAAGAAATTTCTTAGTATAATTAGGAAAAAGAGACGATCATGAAAATATAAAGATAAATTTTATAAAATTACAATTAAGTCATCAATATTCTTTTGCGAGTGTTATCATGTTGAGCAGAACATAAATGGTTGATATAAGATGGTATATCAAAAAGCTGAATGCCAATAAAAAAAAAAACATATTATATGAGATGAATAATTGGAGTGATATTTATTTACAATTTTAGTATCATTGGGTTCATACTGTCGAGCATATTAATTTGATTGCAAGTTTGCTGAAATCAGCGTTTTTCATGATTTTCAATCGAAGTTCGATCATTTCTTGCTAAAAAAATTGTCCTGCGATTCGCGTCAAATGATGAAATTGTTAATGATATATTAAGTATCATAATCACATCAAAATGTAAGCCTAAAAATGTTTTATATAAAATTTTTTTTATTGACAAAAGATTATTGAAGACTTAATTGTAATTTTATAAAATTTATCATTATATTTTCATGACCATCTCTTTCTCTTAATTCTCCTACGAAATTTCTTAATTTAACCACCTATTCTAAATTCTAGAGGATACATCATCATCCATGTCAATTATTAAATAGTTACATAAAAACCACCCAAAAGTTGCTATTTACAAAACAGCCCCTCCTTTTCATTCTTGCTCTAATGTCAAAATTCATCGTAAAATTTGAAACCGTATTTTTCATTTTTATCGAATTCTCAATAATTTAATTGTGACATATGTAAATATATCAGTCCAGCAGTTCAACATAAATCACCAGGATGATTATTTATAAATATCATTGCTTCAGGTGTTCTGAATATAGATCTAAACTTTTAATGCATTTTATTTGAAAAGAAAATTACAAATCTTTTTCTTCCTGCCTTGCTGTTTGCCCTCTTTTTTTCCTTTGTTAATGCCAAAGATACTACATAAATCTATAAAACCGAGTACCAGAGTGGTGAAGTTACAGAGTAAGAAAGTGGTGAAGTTCAAGACAATCAATTATGCCTTGTAATTCCTTTTTTTTTTTTCAAAGAATGAGACATTTGGAAGCGTTCGGATGATCAAGCTAAAGCCTTAAAATCTTTATCTCCTGTTTGGAAGCTAGTACCAGTTTTATATCATAAGAGTAAAACAAAAAGCTTATAATGATTTCATTTTATTCTGAATGCTTCAAATCAAGTAAAATAAGTATTATATAATTCAAATATCACAAAAGAATGATTTTTTTTTTCTGCAACAAAAAATTAGTCATCTCTTATCTTTTCAGCCATTTCAGAAACACACAACGAAAAACATATAACAGAATATTATATAAAATCATAAAACAGAACGAAGATACAGAAAACTAAAGAACTCCAACTTGAATTAACGAGAACACATGATATGAACATTTTCACTGATGCCCAAACAATGTTGAAATGTACACAATATTAAATCTGTCCTAAAAGAAATTTATTTCAATGAGAAATTTAGCAGGGTCATATATGTACACAAATAGATTAAAAAGGTTCAAAGAGAGGAATAATTTTGGACAAAGTAGCATTGAAACTTAGGATTGGGTTTTGTTTTTATAGGAAGCAGCTGCAGCTTTGCAAATTGGGCACCAATTCTTTAGCCTGAGCCACTGACGAATACACTGCGCATGAAAACGATGCTCACATTGTAAACTCCCCATTTCCTCTCCTGTAACATATTCTTCCTGAAAATCCATCAAACAAACCAAAAGAGTTAGCCATAACAGAAACTTCAAAATCTGGATGATTATAGAAGCATTACTAATAAAAAGAGAGCTCATGAATATGAGTTTTCTTTTTTTTATTTGGTGAAGACAAAACATAATTTTATTGCATATCAACATATTCCATATTGCATACTTCTAGTTCCATGATTGCAAGGAGATTAAGGAATTTCAGCTAGAAAAATAATGTGATTAAACATGATAGGTAGCTTCGAAACATTCTCTATCATACTTGGACATAAAAAAAAGTCATGAAATGAGAGATTTTTTATTCTAAAAGGCAAAATTACCTGGCAAATGCTGCATTTTACATCACCGACTTGATGAGAGCTCCTTGGAAAAGTGAAGTTAGACCTGTATAGGCTTCTCTTGAGGCACTTAAAAATCGCCTCTTCAGAAAGGGCAGTACTCACAGTTCCCATTTCCTCCTCTAGAGCCAAAAGCTCCTGTTCAAATCAAATGAGATTCAATTAAAAACTTTCAGGCAAAAATATAACCAAAGCAGCCATTACCATAAAGGTTTCTTGAAACAGAAATAGGAAAAAGAAAATCACTTGTAGAAAATTATACTGTTCTCCATGCAAAGAATATGCTAGTTTCATGGTATGCAAATGATAGAAATCCGAAAATTGTATAGACAAAGATGAGCCAAAATTTTCAATCATGATTTTTTATTTTTAAACATACCTCATATGACATATTATCTATATCTAATCTCATATCTCGATGCTGATCATAGAAGCTCAAACCTCCCAAGAATAAGTTCGCCTCCAACACCATTAGTTGCTGCATAATAAACTTCCATTTTAGTTGAGATACAAAAGAAAAAAAGTAGCACAATTACAAATTAAAAACCTCATCGGTCAACTCTTCGTCATGCTCAATCCTTTCCAATGCTAGTAAAATCTAAATATATCAAAGAAAAGTTACTTTTAAGTCAGTAAATTAATCTAAGATACATGATCAGTAAAATTTATGGAGAGCAACCTCTGCAATTCCTTCAATGTTGAAGCGTCTGTAATCATCTCTATCTTCAGAACCAGATATCAACCTAGTTTGGGAGCTTCGGCGGCCTGTCTCCGCCCTTCCATTAAATGCAGAATCATAAAATACAGAAGACAGTCCAGACGAAAAAGATCTTTGGGAACTCTCCTGCACATCTTCTTGAGCAGAAAACTGAACACTGGATGGTGGTGAAAACAAAACAGGATCAGCCAACTGAATAGTGGATTCATATTCAGGCTCACTCAATCTCATTCTTCTACTTTGTAAACCTGAAGAACCATGCCGGGTCCTGCGAGAGACTACAACATCCCTACTAGTTTGGATTCTAGTCTGTCTTGATTCTTCTTGAGGCACTTGCTGATCTGGTTGAGCCAAAATTGCCTTTGAAGAACCTTCACCAACCTGTAACTTTCTTCTGAATGAAACATCTCTTGTATCATATCCACTGGAGGAACCTGATGGAAGAACATCGGAGATGGATGCACAGCCTGGGTTATTTAAACCATAATTTTGTTGCCTGCTGTTCACTGGAGAACTGGTTTTTGGTGCTTGAGTGGCACATCTTAGTGCGGAGGAACGGCGAAGAAATGAACTTGCAGTGTCCTGAATGGCAGATCCAAATCTTCGACTAATTTGCTTGCCATATCTTGAGGAAGATGTAGCAGTGGAACCACTCGATTGTTCTGGTTCAATTCTTCCATTTTTATTCTCAATTCCTCCACGAAACCGTACATCCCAATTAAAACTGTCTCCACTCTCTGGTTGTCTGTTGCTGCTTTCTACTACATCTGCTGCTTCTTTTAGAGAGGAGGCATGATTCTGCCGCTCATGGTAATATTTTCCGAAGTTGGTAGTGGATGAAAATGAGCTGGAAGAACTTGCAATTGAAGATTTACTGTTTTTAAAACGAAATGGAGGTTTTAGGAATCTGGGCTTCTCAGGAGGGGTGCTTTGGATGCTTGGGATGGAGCTTTGTCTGGCGCTGCACCCTTTACGGTTGCAGCATTGGAAACTTCTGTCCTCATGCTTTGCATCTCTAAAAGAAAGACCAGAATTTCGGGACAAGCTGGGCCCGCCAGCTATTTTCTTGCCATTGTAACCATCCATGGAAAAACAAGATGGAGTAGAAGAAAGATCAAGTCCTAGATCTTATGGTTGGAATGCAGGAATGTTCTTAAACAGAAAATTGTAGCCGAACATAAAATCTACAAAATAGAAAAAAATTCTTAGCAAAGACTGCAAAGAAAGAAAAGGAACATGTAGAAATAGGATTCTCCTTGAGTGCAACCACAAATGCTGAAGATAGTTCCAACAACTATAATTATTGGATCCAATATTTTCCGTGGAGTTACATAAAGACTTTATTGTAAATTAGAATCAAACCCAAAGAAGAAAAATAAAAGAGATCACAATAGAGTCAATTGAATTTTGAGATAAACAATAAATCAAACCAAGTTGCGAGAGCGAGAGTAATGTGAGACAATCTAAATAAATTTCAATAAGGCAGAATTTTGCCAAAATTACCGAGTTATATACTAGATTTGGTGAATCAAATTACTAATTCCTGCAGATCAGTTGTGGCATACTATTTATTGGTGAGGATCAAGGTCAATGACAGAAGATGGGCTACAGGAGAAAATAATAAGTACATGAGATTTTTCGTAGACAGCATTGAGAAGTCTCAGCTCTTGGCACTTCAATGTTTTGCGAGCTTCTAACTTGGAAAGAATAAAGTTTATGGCGATATGAGCCTGTTCAGTGTAAAAGACTTACTAAACTTGATTTAAGCTCTTATGATGACTTACTCAGGCTGATTTAAGTGACCATGGGTGTAAATATGTTCCTCGATAGGCCGTGAATTCCTTTTGTATCAATTGAAGATTGGCACCATTTCTCACGAAGTTGCACTCAAGCCAAGGTTATGTAGTCTGCTAGAAGGATTTGGGATGTCATTGTATGATGAGTTCAGTGATGTTCTATCTTATTTCAGTCATACTCATGGGAATTAATTTTTCTTGGTGTACCTAGTAGATTAAAAAAAAATTCAAAGTTTGCTCTTAGATTTGGTGTTTCTTGACGTCAACCTTTCATTCATGACGTCAACCTAGGAAGTAGTTCTTTGTTAAGAAGTTGAGCTTCAGTAGCAAGAATTTTGTCCTTCATTTGAAGCCAACCTTTGTTGGAAATCGGCCTCTGCTAAGCAGATAAACTTTGCTGAAAAGTTGGCCTTTGATAAATGAAGATTACAAGAACATTGTATCTATATATATATTGCAATTTGATGGATAATTTCATTGAAATGACTACATGAAACGGCTTGTGAAGTGAAAGCTTTTTACTTTTTGCTTATAAATAAGATTTAATATGGGAGTCGGCTTTCCTTTACAGCCCTATACAAAATAGATAAATCTATTCAAACACACAGCAAAAAAAGAAGAAAACAAAAAGAAAATTAACACACAAAGACTACAAATTTTATACAAGTTTACAAAATTTAATGTCACATCCTGTTGATGATGTTGCAAATTTTACTATTAATTGTGAAGAAACATAAACATGGTTTTTAAGAAAATAAGATGACACCCTCTCTGTAAAAGAACAAAAGAATTTGAGAACCAAAATATTCATAAAATTCCCATAATGAAATAATCGCAAATATTTTTGTAGTTATCTTTATAGAGCAAAAAAAGGCCTCCACAATTTACCAACATGTGCTCTCAATCTTACTTGGATTTCCTGCGCTTTAAACATCCACCATGTTTGAGCTTCTGCTTCTCTCTTCCTCCATCTTCTTTTTTTCTACTTCCTAAGAGGGGATTCACTTTCTCTATGGCAAGGAGTGTGAAGTTTATGGAAGAGGAGTCGAGTCTACGCAACTACTTCACCACAAACTTGAAGTTTAGTTGATTAAATGTAGAATGTCGAGTGCTAACTTTTAAGGCCTAACTTGATAATAAATCCTAGAATGTCTGAGTTTCCAAGTTAGAACTATCATACGAGTTCTCGGAGTGAAGTGAGTTGTCAAGTTCGTTAAGCAACTTGTATTTTCTTAAGTGTGAGTTTTCTGAGTATAACGAACTGTTAAATTCTTTGAGTGTAATAGATTTTTTTCTTGGGATGAGTTTGCTTGGGTGTTAAATGATAGGTTGACAAATTTCTACATGTATGAGATTTTTAAATTCTTTTAAAACTTATAGATTGATAAATTTATAAAAAACAATAAATTGTCAAATTAATAGAAAAATTAATATTTTTTTTAATCATGAAGATAAATTTCTGCACGTAGCAAGTTGTTAATTTTATAAAAATTTGCTAAAATATCATAAATTAACAAATTACAAGGGCCGAATTCCCCAAGTCCAATTAAATATAATTAAATGAATGATAAATTCCAAGTTTTTGCAGTAACAGAGGTTTCTTAAGTAAACAAAAAAATAATAATAAAAATTTGAATTTATTTCTTAATTTATTAATTAAAAATTAAAGTTATGAAATTGTGGTATTCTTCTATTCTTGAGATGACAGCTTTGGCTTTTCATGTTTCCCTTTAGTTTAACAGTCTTCAAATGAAATGTTTTAAATTTAATGTGATGAATAGATTTATGATGAAAAATGATAAGTTAGGGTAGGCTAGTTGTTCTACTGATGCCTTACTGGTTCTTCATGTCAGACCAGTAATAATGAACCCCTTTAACTTATCAATGCATATGAATTCTACGATGAGGGGCTAAGAAGTGATGACATTCTTTTATGTTGTGACCATAGTCTTTGTGGAAGATGTAATAATTTGATAGGCCAGGAGCATACAACTTATGCATATCACTGTGCACGTTACTATAGACAAGCAAGAGAACCACAGCAATAACACCAACTTAAATATGATGAAAAGAAATATGTGCCCTACCGCACTTTTGGTGATTATAAGGAAAATTATCAACCCAAAGTGAATATTGTGGTTGAATGATTCTATAATCCCTTTATAGCGATCAAGAGTGGGCATCATGAACTAGGAAAGAGAGATGGTTGATTAGTAATTTCGATGGAATAGAGCGAAAGAAGCAACTTAAGGAAAGGACTCAAAGATTCTCTAAATCATCCTTATAAGTTGATCCTCCATGTATTGCAGTTGCTTAGAGTGACATAGTCATTAGGTTGTTATTGTGTAAGCAATTTTCCATTTCGGGTGCTCCATAGTTTGGTTCCTTGCTTTAGGCATGATCCACATTAATAAGGCCTCCAGAGATGTGTGATCTAATATTATTTATGGAGTCACAGCTAATAGAACCAATACAATATGTGGAGTTACACCGAGACCTTATGGAAAATTAGGATCAAGCAAAAATTAAGAGAGAGAAAAGAAATCATAAAAGACCCAATTACCCTTTAGAGAGAAAAGAGCAAGTCAAACCAATGAGAAAAAAAAAAAATGTGCCACGTAATCTAATATTGTTCCCTGAGCCATTATTTTCAACTAAAAA